CCAGGCAGACAGCACCCCGGACCCAGACAGCACCCGGACCCAGACAGCACCCAGGGCCCTGGCAGCACCCAGCAGCCCCTCCGTCTCACCAAGACCCAGGTGTGCCCTTGGCGCTGCGGCTGCCAGGAAAGCCCAGCACCCGTGGCCCAGCCTAGCTCTGCTCAGGCCTTTGTTTCTGTTGCTTATGCTGGTCTTTATCCAGCATCAGTTTTATTTGTTTTATTTTAAATGTATGATTTATTGTTGATAGTTTTACAGGTCTCTCCCATCCCCCCCTTAGCCCCTACCCCACCTCCAGCACCAGGTCTTCACTACCCTGTCACCTGTCAGTTTTAAAGTTGAGCTGCAGAGGCGCCCAGTGGCTCTGGGAGGAGATGCGTGCAAAGCAGCAAAGCCTGTGTGGACCCCGCGCCACCACCTGACGTCACCACCCTGCGGCCCCAGGACTTTTCAAAAGGATTTTGCCTTCGGCCGGGGAGTTCAGGGGGAGAGAGAGAGGAGAGGCAGCCCAAGGCGGGGAACGTTTCAAAAACCCCTTGAAGCCTGCGGTGGCCTATAGGTGACCCCAAGTCTGTCCCTCTTCCATCTGGGAGGGGAGTTTGGTTTCCAGGCCGTTGGATCGGCGGCCCTGTAACTGCATGGACCACGGAACACCCAGGAGGGGTGCTGGGGCTGGTCTTAAGAAGAACTGGCATCTTCTACTTCTTTCCCCAAAGAATCTCTCTGGGACGCCCTCTCAACAGGCCACCTCCCCACCCCCTGTGTGAGAAGCCAGCAGGGAACCCTGTCCTCTCCCCCAGCAGCCAGCCTAAGCCGGCATCAGGTGTGTGCCAGCCGCCTTCCTGTCATGGCCCAGCCAAGCTCACGTGACTCCAGCCCCAGCCAGAAGAGCCCCCAGCCCAGCCCATCAACTCACAGAATCATCCACACTAATAAAAGAGAAACATGCAAATTGGTATCACTCCACTACACCCACCAGCCAATCAGAGCAACTATGCAAATTAACCCAACAAAGATAGCAGTTA